ATATAAACAAATATATATATATATATATATATATATATATATATATATATATATTTATATATATATATATATATATATATATATATATATATATATATATATATAAACTTTTGTATATATATATTTAAATATATATTCATATATATTTTTATATATATATATATATATATATATATATATATATATATATATTCATATTTATGTGTGTATATATATATATATATATATATATATATATATATATATATATATATATATATAATGTTTATATATATATATATATATATATATATATATGAATGTATATATATATATATATAATATATATATATATATATATATATATATATATATATATATATAATGTTATATATATATTTATATATATATATACATGCGTATATATATATATATATATATATATATATATATATATATATATATATATATATATATATATACATATACATGTGTATATATATTATATATATATACATATATATATATATATATATATATATATATATACACACATATATATATACGCACATATATACATATACACACATTAATTTATATGTATATAAATATTCATTTTTATATACATTTATGCATATATAATAATTTATATATATATATATATATATATATTTATATTTATATATATATATATATATATAGATATATAGATATATATATACATATACACACACACACATAAATACTATACATATATATATATATATATATATATATATATATATATATATATATATATATATATTTATATAATTATAAAAATATATAATTATATATATATAATTATATATATATAAATATATATATATAAATATATATATATAATATATATATATATATATAATATATAATATATATATATAAATATATATATATATATATATATATATATATATATAAATATATATATATATATATAAATATATATATATATATATATAAATATATATATATATATAAATATATATATATATATAAATATATATATATATATATATATATATATATATATATATATATATATATATATATATATATGTATGTATGTATGTGTGTGTGTGTAGACCTCCATCTTCAATAAACTGTCAAAAACAACCATTAACATAACAGGCATGGCATGTACGTACATGTCAGGCTCACTGTGAGTGGATTTGTTTGATTGTTTTTACACATAGATGGCTACACTTGTACTAAGTCACCAGCGAGCCAATTAAGAATAACACCATCTATATTTATAGCACTAGTAAGAATACGTTTCTTCCCGCCAATTCAAGGAAAGGTGAAATCAGGACTAGCAGAGCGATCTATGTACAGAAACATTTCACAAAAATATAAAAACTGAGTACAGCATTTTTCCCATTTTTTATTCATTATCCCCAGCGGCAATGGGTTAAAAAGTCAGTTAGACAATTATAGATATGGACATTTGGTTCTGAACAAATATGTAAAATTAACTAAGAACAATATTTACATTGATGTAGTGAAGTCATAAAAATGAGCGACATACATTATAAACATAAAATGGAATAGAATGACATACAGTAAGTCCCCAACTTAAGGACATAATGGGGACTGAGAGGCTGTTCGGAAGTCGATTTAACCGTATGTCGAAAGTCGGGTCTCCATTGCCTTTTTCCCCATTGTTTTAAAATTTTGTTTACATTAAGAATACCTGTACATAACTCCCGATAAGTACGACGTACCTTATACAGTACCTGTAATATGCAATGCTTTTAATATTATTTGATGGTGATTCATACAACTTTAATGTAGAAACATAATTTATTCAAAAAGAAAATATATTGTAGTGGTGACTGGCAAATAAAAAACTCTACAAAACTCTACGCTCTGGCAAACAATGGCTTTGCGCCGACTTTGAGGGCGTGAGTTCCGTACATCAGGCCGAATCACTGGCTCGCCGCCGCGGCGTACAGCCGCACGGCACTCTTCGTGCGGTTTATTTTCACGCCTAGCGGCGTCACCCGTCGTTAAAGGGTTCATATTATTTGATGGTGATTTATACAACTTTAAAGGTAGAAACATAATTTATTCAAAAAGAAAATATATTGTACTGGCGACTGGCTGGCGAACCAATTGATAAGATCCATAAAGTTATAGCCTGACGTTTCTTGGCAATTCCACTGGCTTCACCGTTTATCTTTCTCTTCGCACCCGACATTTTTGATGGATTGATGCACAAGTAAAGCGAATTATGGGACAAAAATTGTCGGTACACAAGGACACAGTGAAGAGAGGCTTTCGTGTTTATGGCGGGAGGGCAGGCGAGTGATGCACCTAGCTGAGATGCCGCGGCGTGGCAAACTCGTGAACTATATTCGCGCCCGGGAAATTTGAAGTTTGCTAGCATCTTTCAAACAATTTTTTGGACTTAAGTATTTAAAAACTTTGTTCGTATGTACGGAATGTACGTAAGTAGAATGTACTTAAGTAGAGGACTATCTGTATATAAAACAAAAACAACTAAAAAGAAAACTAACCAAAGTGGGTGTTGGTAAGAGGGAAGGCCTATTGGGTCAATAATGTTGTTGCTATGATTGTGTTGTTTGTTTGGGTTTTATCTTCTGTATGTGTAAGGATTAGGAGATGATAAGGTCTGGACGGGAGGAATAGGAAGATATATTACTAAAATCTGTGTTGGAGAAAGGGTGTGAGTGGAGTAGAGAGTTTTCTCTTATTGCCGAGAAAGATGGTTTGTTCAGCAGAAGGATTTGCCTTTGTGTTCCAAGATGCAGTGTTGTAATCATCGTTAGGTAGATCCCAGGTACTGAGCTTGGCAGCAAGGAAAGGTAAATAAGTACACTACGTTAGAACACACGTCAGAGTTACATCTCAAAGGTTGTTTTAGAAATTTGTCTATATTGTTAGTGTTAGCAAAGACAAAAGTGAATTTAATT